GATTTACAGACGCGTCTACAACAAACGGGTACCACCGCTGATCGCCCTCGGCCAGGTCGACCACGTGTGACGTCACATGCAGAGGATCGTCAGATTGTCTTACGTCACCTCCGTAACCGATTTTTGACGGCTACATCAACCAGAAATGAACTGTTTAGGGGTAGACTGAGTGCACAAACTGTTCGAAACCGTCTGAGAACTGCTCACCTTCAAGCACGACGGCCATACTGCGGGCCGATTCTGACTCAATTACACAGACGTCAACGTCAATTGTGGGCACAGCGACACTTACGATGGACTCAGAGGAATTGGAATCAAGTCGTCTTCAGTGATGAATCCCGATTTATTCTTCGATTTGCTAATGGTAGGGCGAGGGTGTGGAGGCGCCGTCATGAACGTTACGCCCAGTGTTGTGTACAGGAAGTTGACAGATTTCGAGGCGGAAGTGTCATGGTGTGGGTTGCTTTCTGCGGCAATGCACGTTCCAGGCTTCTTGTCATCCGTGGCAACCTCAACGCTGCTGCTTACCGCGACCAGGTACTTGCACCAGAACTTCTGCCTTTTATGGCAGCTCATGGACCCGGTTTGATCTTCCAACACGACAATGCCAGACCCCACACACAATTTTGACAAGGAATTTCCTTCAGAATGCGGGAGTCAACGTCATGGACTGGCCGTCAAGGTCTCCCGACCTCAATCCCAACGAACACGTCTGGGATGCTCTTGGCAGAAGTCTGCGCACTCTCCAGAACCAACGACAGAATTTGCAAGATCTTGGCACCATTTTGCAGCAATAATGGCGTCGTCTTCCCAATCATGTGTTCACAAGCATCACAAGGTCCATGCGGAGGCGTTGTGTGGCAGTTGTCAACGCACATGGTGGCCATACACGCTACTGAACTTGTGTGCCATCAGATTCTCGTGCTTGGGACTTATGATTTAAACTGTTGATGTTATTACCGAATACCGTAGGTGCTTGGAACAAATTATAGTTACCACCGTTAATCAAAATCCTTCTTTGGACATTAATGATTAAAAATTACCTTCTCTGATACATTTGTCCGTTGTATATCATATATGACTTAAAAATAATAGCTGTCAGTCAAGCATTACTTCGTCAAGCATCAATATTCTGTTGACTATTGATGTAAATTCATTATCTCAAACGTTGTTACGAATATCCTTTCAAACTCTTCAATTCAGTATGTAATGTGGTGTTCATTAATTTCGAAGCCCAAAAATATTTGTAAATACCCCTCATGATTTATTCTACATAGATTTAAACGATATTTCCTACAAGACTTTTGTTAATAAAATCGCACATTTAAAGATGTAGTCAATACAGTAGGAAACTTTATCTTCCCAAATCGAGTGTATAATATATATATATATTGTGTATACTTTCCAAAACAAGTAGGGAATTATGAAATATATATGCTAATATCAAGTACAAGAACAAATATAAGTGATGACGACAAATACGCAGTAGTGCCACACACGAGCGTAGGATGTCATTCCTGATTTTTTTTCACATTCAAGGAAGGTCGATTAATCTCTGTAAACCATTATTTCTGTCAACCTTATTGATTCTGCTCACCATACAGTTGTGATTTATATGATTTCATTCATTGTTTGTGTATGAACTATCAATACGAAGTCTGCAACGAGCCGAGCGCCTACGGGCGATTGGCATGCTGGAACTGCCAGAAATCAGCGAACACGTTCCAATCTTTCACAGTCTGTGATTAACACACAATGGAACAGGTACCAACAAACCCCAAATGTTGACGATAGACCCCTTCAGGGCTATCAAGGTCAACGACAAGAGTACAGGATCGATTGATCCGAAACCAAACCCTAAGAAATCGAACTCAAACGGCGATGAAATTTCTGCACACTTTCATCAGGCTACTGGAGTACGAGTTAGACGATTAGAAATTGTCTCCAGTCAGCTCATCGCCATGCTCGACGGCCACGTGTTTTGCCGCCCTTACAAATCGTCATATTGCCAACAGACTTCAAAGATGTACACAACGTCGAACCTTGGGTAATCATCGCTTGTCACGTGTCATGATTTTAGACGAGTCCCGATTCACTTTGCACTCCTCCGGATAGGCGTTGTCGTGTTTGGCGACGTCGATATGAACGTCAAGCCAATGTCAACCTGAGACCTCATGACAGATTTGGCGTTGGATCAGTTATGGTATGGCAATACCACGGCGGGGAACAGCAGAAATGGGCTTCACACATTGTACCCATGTGGGGAATCGAACCTGGGTCTTCGGCGTGACCAGCGAACGCTTTAACCACTAGGCTACCCCACCGAGTGTTTTGTGAGGGACACAAGGTGTTTAATGTGGCAGATGTCTGTGAATATGACTTCCCCGATATTCTGCTGCCACACAATAAACTTGTTGGACCATTCTATCGATTATTTGGAAAGTTATATTGGGTCTAAGGAAATGGCGTTTCTATTCAGTTTTTCTCCTCGAAGGTGTCAATTTATTTAACAGGTCATACTTTTCTGAAAACCCCAATCTTAGTTTTACGGTTAATATTCAACCTCGACACGCGACTTGAATTACATACTGTAAGCATGACATAAACCGTAGACATCCGAAAATTTGACCGCACTAAACTGTACCTTTCTGATACTTTTCTTCCATAAAACTCAAATTGTAATATTGATTCATGGTCGATAAGTGTGTCTAATTCCAGCATTAAATACGCCAAGAAAGGATTTTTATATACAAAAGGTGACGCCACTTGTTTTTCACTGTAACACAATAAAGGCGACGCGGAGTCGATGCTTTGTAAACCTTTACCTGTTAATCTCCTGTATTTTGATAGTTTAGAATCTCAGGAGAAGTCAGCTATTTCGGTAGACTAGTGATCTTAGTTCACGGGTTTGGCTGTGCTGCTATAGAAACACATTCTAAGTGTGTTGCCATTGATAATAATGCGTTGGTATAATTGCGCCATGTCGGTGGAGATACATCCGTCATAATTGATCTTCTGAAAGACGGGCGGTAAGACAGCACTGTTATCTGAATTAAACTTTATTTAGATTCAGATCGCTAGCGGCGACATTAGATTACAATTGAAATATTGATTTTACAAAAATGCATGTTCATCAAAACAATATTACATTGTCAAGAACATCTTATCTGAGCAGTCGGATCAGATAAAACACAAATTCTTGAATTTTGTACAAGAACTTACGAAACATTAATTCCAGGTTTTAAGTTAATCATGATTATTTTACACAACCTAGATAATGTTCCTTATATTGGACTGTTAAAACAGATTCATTCTAGACATGTTGGGTGGAATATAATAATATTTATGAATCAGTTATTTCCTCAAATGAAGGACAGATAAACAAATAGTGAAATCTCTCTCCAATCTCCAATCATTGTCAGGCCACATTTTCTTTCAGTTAATGGTATTTTCCTCCATCTGCCTCTCTCGATTGTAAATAATGATTAGTGATTCCGAACTAAAGGAACATTGTCCAAACGTTTTCATCTGTATTGAATAAATAGTCGTTAATTCGTCAGGACGAAGCCCCGGTTTCGATTGCCTACATGGGTATATGTATAAAGCCGTGGTATGCCAATAGTAATACATACCAATAAGTAAAGATGAAAGATAGTCTAGCTCGTGAATAATACGTACTATAGCGAACTCACATCGAACGATATATTCCAAACCTTGAGTAGCATACACTAAATCATCATATCATAAGCAGGGACCTGTTTCTTTTGTTTTAGAGTATCCCGCGTCAGTGAAGACGATATTGATTACGTTTTGCTGAAAGAAAACGGGGGAAAAAATACGAAAAGAAAGCCGAGCAGTATGTCAGTCAAACAAACGAGTGTGAAATACCGCGAATATTGCTGTACATTATTGATAGCCTCTGTTCTTTGTGGGTGAATCACAGCTGGCAGTAAACGTGTGCTGGCACTGTTGGTGCGGATAAGCTACAGAACGCTCACGTCTTGGCAGTTCATGAGGACACTACGGGGATTATAGATTAGGGAAGACTTAGAGATGTTTACGCTGCCGCGCTACACAGGTACCTTTCTTCCATCGTTTCTTGATTAAGAACGCAAATGTTTGACTTTGTATTTTTTACAGCATTCAAATCATAGAAACCACGTTTCTTCTCCTGGTATATACTTTCAATTTGAGTTACGTGTCTGATAAAGGATGAAGCCAATTATTGTACCAAGAGGTGAGGTGAAATGGGGTTTAACGTCGCGTTCAAGATTATTGCACTTATATAGCGACGTGCATGCACGTGTATGTGTGTGTGGCTGCTTGTACTAGTCCGGACTGATGCCGATTTATAGTGCTAGCCCACTGAGATACCATGCCGCAGTTTAACATGAATACCCCGCTCAGACACAATATACTGACTCCGAGCCGACAAGTCCTTGTTTTAGCCCCTTAATGCCGAGCGCCAGACAGGGTAACAACAAGTACCATCTGTTAACGTCTTTTGGTATGACGCGGCCGGGGATCGAACCCCTTACCTTCCGCTCTCAGGGCGGACGCTCTACCATTAGACCACGGAGGCGGTTTTATTGTACCAAGAAGCCTTCTTGCTTTTTATAAACATGTTTGTGCCAAGATCTGTATTTCCACAATCAGTGAAGGGATAAGCAATATTAGATGTCAAACATAATTGTTTTTTATATCGGAAACCGAGAATCTACATACCGAGTCATGAAAGAATTATCCGTTTCTAGAACAAGTAACTTGTCGGTTGTTAATGAAACTGCGTATACGACATGTGTAATCATCTTGGCTTTGTATCCCTATAGTTATTGCCTTTCTGGCTGAGAAAAGTTAATAATTTACCCCAGTGGAGAATTGTTTCCGTGCTCTAAGTATCGGTGATGCTAACCGATTAGAAAGAGGAAGCCCCAACGCCTAGTTTCGCTGTTTATGTTACATCCATATTGTTTGTACTTAGTTTTAACTTTGAATTGCAGACCAAACTGATGGTTGATCCTCATTCTGGTCGATTTGTGGAAAAAAAGAATGTTCGTCTTTGTCGTCGTGTTGATGCTGGCACTCTTCTGTCCCGTCGATGCAGGTGAGTGAGTGAGTGAGTGAGTGAGTGAGTGAGTTGGGTTTAACGCCCTTTTTAACAGTATTCCAGTTATATCACGGCGTGTCAGCTTAATGTGGGAGGAAAACCAGAAGTGATGCAGGTCTCAGACGTTTACCACTTCGGTGAAACCCACGAGCATGGGTATGGTGCTAACAAACCTAGAAACAATCCTAGAAACATAATCGGGGCGAACCGGGATTCGAACCCACAATCATAGGTTTCTGGCGTGCCCAAGGGACGCAACTCTGCACAGCGAATCGCGGCGCCTTAGACGACTGGGCCACCCGTGCCCCCCGATGCAGGTGAGCAACACCTTCTGTGTCTGTCTGGCTTAGTCAAGTCATCTCACTCTCAATATGGTTTTCGAAACTTCCACATCACCTACAGAATTAACAGTTATATGTCATGTTCACGGGGGCACAGGTGGCCCAATCGTCTAAGGCGCCGCGATTCGTTGTGCAGAGTTGCGTCCCTTGGGCACGCCAGAAACCTATGATTTTTGGTTCGAATCCCGGTTCGCCCCGATTATGTTTCTAGGTTTGTTAGCACCATACCCATGCTCGTGGGTTTCACCGAGGTGTTAAACGTCTGAGACCTGCATCACTTCTGGTTTTCCTCCCACATTAAGCTGACGCGCCGTGATATAACTTGAATAATGTTAAAAGCGGCGTTAAACCCAACCTACTCACTCACGCTTGTTACGACTCTATGTGAAAATGTTTTTGTTTATAGTTTAAACATATTTTATTTACATGGAAATGATTGGACAGTTATCACAACTTATATCATCCTCCCCCATATATTTCCAATTATGTTTAATTACAAATAATATATGAAATGGTTTGTATAGACATATAAGGCCAGTCTGTTAACTGATGAAGATCTTCATCGAAACAAAGCCATATATACTATACTGAGTGTATGACGATTCCTAATTTTTACTGAATTCCAATGCTTCAAAATATCCGCACCAAATACCTTTTTCAAAGATTAACCATAATCCTTAATACAACGAAGGAAGGACTTTCTACATTCTAACAAACGTATTTGACACATGTGGAATGTCATATCATGTGGATTAGCAACAATTCAATGGATTTACTTGAATTGGTGCAATCCCAGAAGAGTTCAATTCAAAATGTTGCAAGACAATTTAACGTGCACAGAGGGAAATCTCAATGGACAGCGCTACCGCGACGAGATCATCGGACCTGTTGTTCTACCGTTTTTGCGTCGTCATGGCCCAGGCATTACCTTTCAACATGACAACGCCCGTCCTCATATTGCTCGACTTGTTCAGGATTCACTTCAACAAAACAATGTGAATGTCATCCCCTGGCCGGCTCGCTCCCCTGATCTCTCAACAATCGAGCACATGTGAGATGAGATGGATCGGCGCCTTCGACGTCAACCACGTGTTCCACACGACACTCCAGGAACTTCGAAAAATGCTCCAGCAGATATGGACAGATATGGACAGACGCCTGGTCCATTCCATGAGACGAAGATGTGTTGCCTGCATCGCAACCAGAGGTGGACACACACGCTATTGATTTGTAAATTGAAATTTTAGCATGTTCATGTTGTTGTTTTTTAAATCACGCATTTTCTGAAGTCAGTAGGCAAATTAAACCATTTGAACACTTACAGGAGTCTTTTATCTGTTGCAAACCGAAATTGTTTCAGATTTTGTAAAAACATAACTTTGCATTAAATCTTATTCAATGCCACAGGAACTTTTGTTGTTCAGTATATTTAGATGTATACAAATTCTAAGGGAAAAAAAACATCCACAGGACTGTACGACAACAGGGATGACTTTAACTTTCCAATCGTCAACTTTCCCTTTTGAGCAATATTGTACTTTTTAGTGTTTACATTTCACAACTTTTGAGGCTCAATCGAATCGTGCCCTTTCCACGAAGATTTTAAAGAGCGTCATACAACTCTCTCTCGAATTATTTTGATTAGGTTTACAGCCTTTAAGGTATTTCAAGACGTTTAATGGTAGCCATATGGCGCACAAAATGAGTAAATGAGAGGAGACAACAAGTGTGTTCAGTTTAGAAATGTCAAACAGATTTGATACCTGTAATTTCGAAACACACAAGGTCTTACCTCCATTCTCACACATTACAAAATTAATTCAATTGTGATTGTGAAAATGAAAAGCGATTGCTTGTGGCTTGCATAAGTTGAATGTTCAATGTCGGCGGTCTTTGACGATCGTCTTAGGTTAACTGTTATTTGGAGGATTTTCACATTTGAAAAATCTCAAGAATGCATACACGAAATTTTGCAAGTTAACATTAATAACATAAAATCAGCGCTAGAAACTGACAACAAATCGGGATTGTGAACAAAGTGTTTTCAAGTTCATATGTGTTTATGCGGTGATGAGAATCATTAACTACAACAGATGCGCTTCGGCTTGCACACCAAGCACGCCAGGCGAACTACAACGTTTTACAATCTCACCCTCACCCACACACAAAGGACCGCCTCCGTGGTCTAGTGGTAGAGCGTCCGCCCGGAGAGCGGAAGGTGCGGTGTTTGATCCCCGGCCGCGTCATACCAAAAGACGTTAAAAGATGGTACTTGTTGTTACCCTGTCTGGCGCTCGGCATTAAGGGGCTAAAACAAGGACTGGTCGGCTCGGAGTCAGTATATTGTGTCTGAGTGGGGTGTTCATGTTAAACTGCGGCATGGTATCTCAGTGTGCTAGCACTATGAATCGGCATCAGTCCGGACAAGTACAAGCACACACACACACACACACACACACACACACACACACACACACACACACACACACACACACACACACACACACTTCGCTATATAAGTGCAATAATCTTGGACGCGACGTTAAACCCCATTTCACCTCACCTCACACACAAAGAAAGATAAAATGACAAATTGGAATTTCATTCAATAGATGCGAACTCACTTACATTGACAATCATCTAACAACCAGATGTATCGCTGTGTAATCGATACTCCGAGATTATATTATGACTTTAATGCTCAAAATAGCGGGCAACTATATCCTCTAGTTTTCTTACGACAAATAGGTTTGAGAAGAAGTATCATTAGATAAGGGTTTGTATTAGAGACAGCTTCAAACGTAAATAACACCGCGTGACAATACAGAACACGATGTTGAATTAGGCTAACGTTTCCGAAGTGTTTCCAATGAGCATGGGGCGTTTAGATGACACCATTGCTGCTTTTGGTGATCATTCAAAGATGACAGAACAGTGGTGTCGGGATAATAATTTGATATATCACTATACACGGATGGACTCACTCTGTTATGCAAGAATTGCCCGTACCACGGCTTCGATTTTGCTCGTTTTGAACTTCACAGAAAGCAATATTCCAGCGGCGATCTGTCAATAATCGAATCTGGAGCAGACACACCAGTAATTAATTAATATTTTCTCCAAATGGTAGGGGATATTAAAAAATAACAGATAGTTACTGAAATACAAAGAGGTGATGGTAATGGATGGATAAGAGTGAGTGAGTGAGTGAGTGAGTGAGTATGGTTTTACGCCGATTTTAGCAATGTTCCAGCAATATCACGGCGAGGGACACCAGAAATGGGCTTCACACATTGTGACCCGGGAATCGAACCCGGGTCTTCGCCGTGACGAGCGAACGCTTTAACCACTAGGTTATCCGACCGCCCCTGGATGGATAAGAAAAGGTTTGACATTACATTACAACCAACAGAACATGATGGCGGTGTATTGTAAGTGTGCAAACAACCCAGAAAGAAGACCGGGCTGTTATGTAAAACAATATGAACGTTTGAGATAACTCGATCAATAATGGGTCATACCTCGACGATGAGTCAACTATTCGTTTATGCGACGTGACAGGGCCCGACTCAATATCCCATTGACAATTTGAGGAGGGCTTGTCCTCTCATCTTGCAGCGCCTGCCCCACTTCGGCTTACGTAGCGGGTGGCCTATGGCGTCGGCGTACACGTCTCCAGATCCTGCTCCAGACGTGCTCTATGGGGGGAAAGGTCAAGACCCATGGTTGGGCTTTGCATTCTGGTGATGGTTTGTTGCTGAGGGTGGTCAGCTGTGATACGTATACCGGCATGGCGCGCAAACGTCACAACAGTTAGTGCCAGTATGTTATACGGTAGTACTGTACAGTTCTAGCTTTCAGAGTTACCCTGCCCCATATCATTATAGAATTAACCCACATCACTCATGCTGCCTTACTTTGACCTTCGAGTCGAGAGTGAATCTGGACTTATCGGAAAACAGTGCACGAGAACATCGCCCATTTTTTCCAGTTTCTGCGCCCTAACCACCATTGGCATCTGTCCAGAATGTGTCGATTTGTTAACGATGGTACAACCGAACATGGAAATTAGCATACTCCTTAGGAAGGGCGTTAACTGACTATAAAAGTCTAGTTTCCACCTTTGCCGAACTAGGCTTTAATTCCCTGGCTCAATCTTAGTGTCTCTAGTGGCTATTACGGGTTGTGGTCCTTCTATGTCCCTACTATTGACCAACCAGGTTCCAACTTTCATAGAACTTGCATTTACTTCAAACAAAATGGCGGCGCCCAGTGAAAACGATCTGATCGATAATCAAGATCTATATTGTAATAAAACGGTTCTTACCTCGCGAAGTGCATCAAATCACTTGAGCACCTTGATAAAGACGTGAAAACATTTGGAAAATATCTGTCGACGCCCATTTGGCGGTACACATGCTTTGCAAATCATGCAGTCGACCGAAATCTGCACGTTGAAATCCATACTGTTTACGAACCGGGTGTCTAGTTCGCTACGCGATTTTGATTGGACTATGCACAGACTCGTTAGTCCAGCCAAAATGTATTTTGGGAAATGGAACCTATTTCGGCAAGGGTTGAAACTGGAGTTTTATATGTCAGTTAATGCCATTGCCTCGGGAAGATGGCAAATAAGCTGCATTCACACGATTTCTA